CTCTCAGGCTTTGGTGTCCAAGAGATCCTAAGGGCTGATCTAGCTGGTGACAATTGCTATGAGGGAGTTTCACTTTCCTGAATCCATGAAGCTCAGCGGTGTTATTAACGGTAGGTGTATAGGGAATGAGGATCTAGATCCAGCTCTTCTTTGCCTCAGTCCGGGGACTGTAATCTGGAGTGCTCTTTTTTACCTTGTCTCATCTCCTACATGAAACATTTTTAGCTCCATTGTGGTTCAGTTTCAGATCCCACAGGAGAAAGGGTGATGGTAACTGTCTTCTTTCAGCTCCCCTGCATTCGAGTCACCTGTGGCTTGGGCTGTCTCCTGCGACAGGACATGGCACTGTCACCTCTTGTGCTGAGAAAGGACCTGGAACTCCACCTTGCCTGAACGTGTGCTCCAGCATTATAGCTATTGCGTGCACTACAATTGCTGCTGCCTATTTAAAAGGTGATTTTTGTTAAAGGTGTGCGTTTGGTGGGTGTTAGGCAAGGTGTGAAAACACATGCCGGATCAAGCCTTCTCAAGTGCTCACACAATTCATTCCCTGGGTCTCATCAGGCTTAAGCAAGAACTCTGGTCTAGGTGGGAAGGCCAGCACAGCTCATGGCACGTGCAGACCCTTAGGGGCCCAGGGAGCTTAAGCCTTTCTTGGGCTGCAGTTTTGGACTCAGGCACCTAGACCTTTCTTGGGCCGAAGGCCCCTTTGTATGCCTGTTTGCTACCATCCATGGTCAGACTACCCTGTAAAGGCATGAATTTTTCCTGTATGGTGGCATCATTGCAGAAGGCATGGCTTTGAATGACCAATTTTCATCACTTAAGTCCTGCTGCAACATCCAGATGCCCTTATCTTTTCTGATGCATAACCTACAGATGCATTTACATCACCTCCATGATTAATACCGTTAATGTGTTTAATAGCCCTGGATAAGCTACAAACACAGCTCCACGAACAGCCAGGTATTTGCATGAGTGTTATGAGACCACCAGATGGCTATCTCTGCTAAACTATTTTGATACATGCTGAATTGGGTTTTGCTGGCTGGGTTCCTGAGATTCAATACTTGCTTCTGGCTAGTAGGTCCTTATAATTAAGAACATCCTTATCGTTCATTTCCACAGCCACTTTAAGTGGAACAGGTTTATTTATTTTTTTCTTCCACAAAATAAAGATGTTTTTTTCCATAATGCCTGCTTTGAATTGATGCCCCCAACCTGCAAACTGTTTTACAGGGCATGATGCATTGTGCGTGTAGAGCCACTTACAAATCTGTTGTCTTTCTCTTGCTTAAAAAAACCAACAAACCACTACCCGAAAAACCAACAAACCCAACCCAAAGAAATCTTTTAAATATAATTTCTAAGAGCTCTTATGGGTTACAATTTTCTAATAGGAATCTTCAGCCAGACCTGGATTGCTAAAGCCAAGCCTGAAGTAAGCTTAGGGAAAATGAAATTTGAAGGAATCATCATGCAAAAGATGAGTATGGACTCATCATCTTGTCTCAGTAACTTCAGAGGGGATGTGTTGAAGGACTGGTTTTATTCAGAAGCCCTGCTCCCAAACTCCACACCAAGGAGTTTAAGTCACTACGTGCTCTGTAGTAAATGGCCAGACCCTTCATTCCAATGTTACACAGCACAAAATTAATGAATCCTGTAAGTATCTTCCTTCCAGGTTTCTACTTCCCAGATGCAACTGTGTGCTTAAGTAAGGATAATCATGGAGAAGTCTTTGGTTTCAGTTCTTGTTTTACCACTCAAACAGCACTACTTATAAAAGGATGACGCAGATGCATCAGCATGGGTCACTCCAGCTCAGAGCTATCACGTCCTTTTAGGAATACAGAATATTCAACCCGCATTGCAGCTCTTCACCTTAACACCACATCTAAGGGCCAAATCACCCAAGGTGTTTAGGTACCTGGAAATCATATGCAGCATCCCCTGTAAGCAGAAGTATGTTGTAGTACAACTGCACAGGCATTTGAGTGAGTTATAAAAGACAAAAATACACAACAGAGACTATGTGAATTATATTTGTATTCTTTTTTTTTTCCCCAGAAGCCCTGAGGACAGGAATAGAAAAAAATCCAGTAGAAATGTCATACAGACAGTTTAATAACTAAAATGTTTGAAGAGCTGGTGAGCTCAGAGATCTCAAATTTGTAAGCTGCTGTAAGTAAAGTGACACACAAAGAGGTGTGATCTAAAAAGTCAATTGATTTATTTTGAACTTAGAGGATTTCTACTTAATGAAGGCATGCTGGATCTTTGGAGATAGATGCCTTTTGAAACATTTTCCTCCAGCAGAGCTACAGATAAACACAGAAAAAGGAGAAAGCTCCCCAAATCTTCTGATTTACGTCTGACCAGGTCTAATAAGAATGCTGAAGTGGCAAAATTCAAGACCTGTTTTGTGTATATATGCTGAGTTGCCCTTGTAGAGCAATTTGATTAAATGAGACAATAATTAACAAGGGAAGGGAAGCATGGGTTTCTCAAACACTGGGAAGATGCAGGCTGGTAAGAGGCCAGGCTAGCATAAAGGCAGTGCTACAGAGGACATGTGTTTAACATGTCCTGCTATGAAGAGTCAATGGTCTTTCTCGCTTCAAAGCAGAAAGAGGAAGGAAAAAAAAAATCCAGCTGGGTATATTCCCCATCTGACAAGGAAAGTTCCTGCAGCAAAACCAGGAAAACAGAAAAGTAGAAGAGCTTTAAAAAAGGTCATCGCTAACCCGGCCCGAAGCCCATGTGCCCATGTCTGAGTTACTCATCTCCAAATCACTTGCTGGGAAACCTTAATGCTGCAAATGCTCTTTTTGTGTTAAAGAGGCACTCTAGAAAAACACTTTTTTCCATACACATGTGTTTTTAATAAAGAAAGGAGGAGAGCATATCGATCACATGATAGGATCAGGTTTAACTGGTAGATCAGACACTCTGGTCCAGATAGGAAGTTTCAGCTGATAATTCCAGAACTGATGTGACTCAGCAACATTATAATGGAGCATTACTTACTAAGGACACTTTTTTCTCACAGATTTCTACCATTTTCCTTTCCAATCTTGGTCTTCGGGCTTTCTTCTTTTTTTTTTTAATTCTACTAAAGGCCCAAAATGGGAACTCCAGGTGATAAAGTGCACCTACTGTTTGCTGGCAATTTTCTAGTGCTGACATCTCATGTCCACAGCAAAGAAGGGTTAAGTGCTACTGCATAATATAAATTCCCCATTCTTTTTACAGGGAGGAGAGAAAACATGTCTTGAAAATGAACACCCTCAGTCTGTGCAGGCTCAAGAATCTCCAGAACAGTGGCACAATAAGCTTTATGGCTCTCTGAATGTTAATCTCCAAGATTAGTTTCATTTAGGCTGTTCAAGGATCCCAGCATTCAATGATCTATATTACATTCAAATGTGCGGGGTTTTGTTGTTGTTAGCTTTGTTTTGATTTTCTTTTTTTGTCTTTATCCTTAATTGGAAATAAATTGTTTAGCAGTTGATTCAACTGACCTGGTGATGAACTTGGTTTGTCCTTTACATTTTCACCTGAAGCCTTCACTGCCACATTAGCTAGACTGATGGTGGAAGTGGCTTTGCTTTCCAGTGCAGTACATGTCTTCTGAAATTCTTGCTTTCAGTTGGCTATTTATTATTTTATTTTGATAGTTCAGAAGTACATCTTCTAAATACTTGTGTCGAAGAGGAAAATGTCTTCCAAATTGCAGAACTCTTGCAAGATAAATTATCAAGATTCAGCATTAATTGCTTTCTAAGCAGTACTTGTGCAAGTCAAAAGGTATTTGGCAGAGCTGTAAATTAGCTTTTGTCTGAGGTGGAAGAAGATACACTGAGGAGTTTAAATTTTCTCCTTTTTTAATTGTTATAGTCTCTTGATGTATGAGGAAACACCTCCAACAGGTGAGTGACTAAGGCAGTGCTGTAGAGAATCCATTCTCATTTGTATTCTGTATTTTATTGAAGACTGCTGCAATTCACTTTGAAATTGATTTTCAAATACTCTATCCTCCTTGATACTCTGGTTTTCCTTCACTCATAAAGCTGTATGAAACCTTGCAAGAGCACAACTGGTCAATGTTTTGTTCACTCTGCTTAAGAGCATAACTACAGCCAGCAAGGCAGGTTTGAGAGATCTGGTTAAGTACCCAGCCAATAACAACAAACCACATTGGATCCAGCTGCTTGACCTCAGTATGTCTGTTAACTCTCTGGAGTTAGAGTCGTCCAGATTTTTGTGTTTATATCTGGATCCTTGGAGTCACTCTCAGGCCTGAGACTGATGTAATTTAAACTGATTCAAGCCAGGCAGCTCACTAATACATTATGCCACTTGAACGATTTTTAAAACCTCATGTTTTCATTTTGTAACAGAGCTTTTTGGTATCAGTTAAACTGCAGCACATTCCGAGCCTCTCTACAAACTTTCCCAACACACTTTCCACAAGTAGTTCTGAAAGATACTGGGATACCATCTTGGGAAGATGAGAAGCAGACCAGGATGACCTTTGTCATTTCAGCTTCTCTACCACCACAGCTACCAAGTTTGAATTAGTTCCTGGATTTCAGTTTGCTGAAATCAAACTCTACTCCATTCATTATCTGAAGGCAGTAGTTGATTTTGATTTTTTTTTTTTTTTTAGTGTGTACACAAGAGGTCTTCAGAGGTACTGCAGGAGCCACTGTGCTGCTTGATGTGGTATACGCTCTAGAATAATAGCCTGAGCAACTACTGCGTGTCTTACCAGCTGTGGTAGAAATCTAATTGTTTCTAAGGCATCTTTTTTCTGAAGGTGTGAAAGTAGAGGCAAATTACAACACACATGTTGGTAAAGGAGGTATAAATTACACGAGTCCCTTAGGAAGGAAAAAACCCCCAAACCTGAACGTTTTACCCAGAGTATGCACAAATCATAAAACACACTCTATTCCATGTCCATTTCAAATAATTATCAACTTGGTAAATGCATTCCATTCTATAACACAGCATCTCTGCCAAAATTAATGGTCATTATCAAATAAGTTAAAGTTGAAAACAATTAAAAAAATTATCTCAGTAAAAATGCACCTAGCACAGTATGAAGATCTGTGATAAAGGTCTGTGCAGTTGCACTCTTGTTAATCTTCTTTGCCCTTCGTTTTATTACAATTTAATTCAGTGCATAGTTGAACTGGTTGGCAAACTTCTCATGCTTTCTTTGGTCCACTCGGTTCATTGCTTTCACCACCCGTTTCACAGCACCTCTGAAAGAGACACAAAAAAACCCAAAAAGCAGTTATGTTTGTTCTACACAATCTCTGAGAATATTTATGAATGTTAGGGGGGAAAATGAACTATGATTAATCACTACCAGGCTTCCAAACACTGCACTGATGAGGCTGAACAAATTTGTCTTGTTAACTAAATTAGCTGCAGCAATACAAATAGTTTAATTCAGCAATGATTTCATTAACAGCAGTAAACAAATTAAAGTCTTTCAGTTTAATAGCTGTGCATTCCACCCTCCTAGCATTATTTCTGACAGTCACACATACCAAGTTTGATTTTCAAAAGCACCTAACTGCTCTTGGGGAAAAAATAACCAAAAGCATCTAACAGGATCTAAAAAACTCACACTCAGAAACCCTTACAAAATCCAACCTGCCAAATCTAGAATGTTTTTGTAAGGGAAAAGCTTGCTGTTCAATTAATGTATGTATAACTCATTTAGCAACTTTCCTTTCACAGGTTCCTAAAAACCCATTTCATCAGCTGTGGGCAGAGTAAGATTCTCTTTTACTCCAATTGGCAGCATCCCCATTCCTGAGCAGCAACTACTTAATCCACAAGCAGAACGCTGGTTTAGGAAGAGAGCAGATATTGTCATGTATCTCTATGCACAGGGATTAGTTAATGTCGCAGAACAGCTCAGTGCTTAGAATTTAGCATAGTTATGGCAGTATGTCTGACATCTTATTGTTATATGAAGTGGAATGGGATCTCTGCTACCTGATGATGGGCAAGCATTTGTAGCCCCTGCTGTGCTTCAAGAAGGCTCTGGCGTGTTCCCCAGATTAAAAAAGGAAAGAAAAGAATGAATTTTGGAGCTTTTAAGCTTTCCAGTGCTCCATCAACCCTTCTGAAGAGGGTTTGCCCCCATGCTGCTGCTCTTTTTCTGCTGCCACTGTTTCCTCCCAGTAAAGATGGTGCCTAGAGATTTCCCTTCTTTGGGGAATGGCTGCTATGTTTTTGAACTGGGTAGTGAAGAGATCTGCATTTTTCTTCCCTCCACAAACTTCTGAGTTAAGAACACACAGCTGAGATTCTGAGGGTGGGGAAAATGATGCCTAGACAGCATGAATAGGAGCAGGAAATTCTCATATAAAGAGAGAGCAGGCTTATATATCCTTTAATTGTGAAGACAGAGGAAAGGGTTCACGATTCCAGAGGGGGAAGAAAGCAGAACAAAGGCAGCAGCAGAAATCAGGAGAATGCTCTGGTGCAACATCTGCCGCCACGGAAACTTATGGTAGGTGTTGTGCACAGCTGAGCGTTTCACGCCTATGGAATTTTGTTCTTCACCAGAGTTTCTATTTTTATCGGTTACTTTGTGTACCTTTAGCCCAAAAGCTCAGAGATATGAGCTGCTATATGCAGGTGTGTTAAGATGTCACCCCATCTCTGTTTATGAAGAAGGAAATTATCTCCTAACACTTCTCTGTACAGGCCTGGATGCTCTGCCAAGGTGGGAGGAATACCAGCCAAGGGCTTGGTTTGAGGGACTATGTCCCCCTTAAGAACATAAAAAATGCAATCAGCAAGTTCTATCACACAAAGTGGACTGTTTCAAGTCTAGTGCTATCTATTAGATTCTATGTTGTCACAGCCTGGCTTTCTCTTCAGAAGATGCTGCGGGCTGTGTGGTGGAACGAGGACAAGGCATCCACCAGGTAGTGTGCACCAGCCCTTTCCAGGATCAGGCCCTACACACTATTCCACCTCTGCTCCTGTGGTTATCTCTGAGGCAAGTTGACTTCTCTTATAGCTAACTGCTCTCTGTAATGGCTTCATTTTAAAAGTCATTTTGAAACATCTGAAAACAGAGGATACTTCTTAATTATACCTCTAAATGGTGGGATTAAGGATTTTCTCAGCAGCAACTGTAATGAAAGCCAACATTCTGAAAAAACACCTTGGAAGAGGGATATTTTTAACAAAATTCTGCCAATAAAGTTACCAGAGTAAGGAAAATGTGGTCATGGTTTTGCACTTCAAATATTGCCTAATTGGTAGGAGAAAAGTGAGCCTTTAGCAGCGCAGAGTGGCCTTGACACTTTCATGTCATGTAGGTTTTACATTAGCACCACTGGATTGTGTGATACTGTAAATGAAATGAGATCCCACTTTGATGATCTGTGTGCAATTTCACTTAACTTTATTGGCAGACTAGAGCCTGGGTTTATCACCTATACATTTCAAGTAATTTGGGGTTGTTATAAGGAGCCAAGGTTATCATGTTTAGTGCTACAAAGCATGAAACCTATTAAAACATGACAGGTTTGATTCCCTATGCCTGGCACTAACACACACTCAAAATCATTAGCACAAACCATAGTAAACCAAAACCAGCTTTTTAAATTTATTTTGTTAAAGCCGATACAAAATTCTGATCATTAGAACTGTATGTCTCTGACTTCTAACTAAGACCAGGTAATATGAGAATTTCACAGAAATCGTGCTATTTCTGTAACCAAAAGCACTGTAGATTTGGCTTTGATATTATAACCATTACATCAGAAAAGGGAAAATAGAGTTTAAACAAATATTGTGCCTTGGATGCTGTTCAACTCATCCAGTGTGTTCAGGGAATAACCCAACATCGATGATTTTATAATAATCATTTTGCTTTTTTGATTTGACAGCTTTACACTTTTCACTTTCCTTTGACTACTTCATTTTTGACATGTGAAACTTTTTAGATAGCTGCAGCTGCTTCCCATTTGATAAAAACCAGAGCATGCTTAGGCAAATTTCTGTTGCAGCCACGTTCTAAAACTCACTCAGCTTGGTGGGTTGGTAGGTTCCCACTTCCATCTGAGCTAGAGTGTTTGCTTTAAAGTTAACTCACATATGTCTACATAAGTCAGGGACACGCCTTTGTTTGAAATGTCTAAAAGCCAATGCCAGCCAAACAGTTTCTTCTCGACCTAAATGCAGGCCAAGAGTTACTGTTTGCACATGTGCTGGGAGACATATAGAAACAGCACCATCGTGGGGAGAACGCTGTGTCCACATGTCTCTGGCACAGGGAGAGTAATTTCCAAACTTACACTGAAGAGAGACCTGCAGCAGGTTCCAGTCCTCCATATTAACGAAAGGCAGCAAGGATTAAGTGAACAGGACCATAACACAAGGATCCAAATAGTTTTCTTAACCAATTGAATGCATTCTCAGTAAAGGAGGAGAAGAATGCAATGGCAGTGTGTCACTGAATAATACACAGGAAGGGATCACTGTGTGTACATACTGGATTGGAACGCACTGCATCAGGCCCAGCTAGCAATTTAGTATACCTGTGAGTGAGAGAAAATATGCAGGAAGCCCAATCAGCAGTGAAAAGTTTGGGAAGGTCTCTCAGCATACACCAGAGGCTCAAGGGCAACCGCCAAGACACTGCTACATGCCAAAAGCCAAGTGTTTTTGACAGATTCTTTTATTAATTGAAGTTCTGGTTCAGGACATCCCATCTTAGGATTTCAAAAGGAAAAACTTCAGTTTCACTCCATCTACACTACTACACCGTGTCTGATGCTGTAAGTTGTGTCACTCTGAACACATATCTTCTTTCCAGATGTAGTACTATTTGCACACATAAAGTAGCATCCATCTGATTAATAAATGATCATCTAGAGAAGCTACTACAGCAATTAAAGGATTAAAAAAAAAAAAATGAGAAGGATGAAAAAAAAATCTTTCATAGGGTAATTTTGTAAAGTAGCTGAAAATCATTCTCAAAGAAATAACCTTGGTCAAGAGTACCTGCTACTCTTGACCCTCCAGAGATATGGAAGGCATTCTTGCTCTGCAGTTAGTGAATAAAGTTGTTCAGTAAGTGCATGTTAATATAGAAACAGAAAGGACTCTTGAAACAAAGGGAAACAGCAATTTAACAGGCCTTAGAGAACATAAGCATCTTACTTATTGAAGACTTTCTTCTCAAGTCGGGAACGAGCAGTATTAGCCTGCTGCTTCAAGTCTGTCAGATTTGGATATTTTTTCTTCTTCCCTTTCTTTTTCCCTCCTTTTCCATCAGTTTTAGAGGAACCAAGATCGATTCCTGTAGCTGCTTCAACTTCTCTCATGAATTCTGGATCTCGCCAGTCTGTTTAAAAGCAAAAGCATGCACTTTGAAACTCCAAACCCAGGTAGAATTTGCAGTCTCCTAAGGTACAGGTTCTTGTCACCGCTAGGCAAGGGCAGAGACGCTGTGCTCTAAGTTGCATGCACAAAGGAAGGGGAGGATAAAGCAGTTAGCCAAAACGACAGATCTTGATGAAAAAGCTCTGCCAGTCTGGGATTAGTATCTATTATTAGCTGCTACAGATAAAACTCTTCTGTAGGAAGACTTCAGTCAAGTTTTTGCAGTAGCACAGTAGCAAAATTCCAAGGAAACTATTCCCTATAGGAGAGGTGTCATAAACACAGTGATTATTATTCAGAAATAAAAAAAAATGCCAACAATGTAGCTGACGAACTTATCTCCAGAAATAAATTCTGAATAAGCTAAAAAATAAACCTAAAAAAATGCAGTATGTCAACTTTTGAGCAGAGTGGGGGTGACAACATTGTAACTTGTCTGCATCAAAGAACTGTATTTGCTTCAAAACATGAACTGGTATCTGGTACCTAAAGAGCATTCTTGAATAAGACAACGTGACCCTGTTGCCGTGAGCCCAATTTTGCATCCGGAAAAGATATTACTTTTTAAGTATGCCACACTTCGTCAGTTTAATTATCTAAATCAAGTTTCTTCTTTTGACAATAGCACAAGAGTTAATTTATCTCATCAAAAACATGGTTTACAATTTTATCAAAACCTTAATGCTTCAGAATCCAACCATACACTGTCAACGGATTCTGATCGTAAGTGCCACCACAGGAAAAAGCATGAACAATTTTGACTGTAAACTCTTTGAGGAAACAACGGTCTTTCACCTTCAGTATAGAGCCTTGCATATCAGAACAAGGTAACATAGTACAAAGTAGAAAGGAAAAATGTGGGTAGAGGATGGATATTATCAAGTAGAAATTTAGAAAAATGGCCTTGCATTACAAAGATTTTGAGCATATGGGTTGGAAAAAAATGTAGCAAGTACCACCTCAAAGAGTAACATGGTCCGGACGCAGTATAAATGTCAGATTTCTGTATTTTAACAACCAGTAATTGCCAGTCATCTTTCATATAGTTTCCCCATACGTCAGTCAGCCTTTCTTGCCTGCAGAAATTGTACCACCAAATGTCTACTACTCTTATTTAACATCTGTGTAGATACAGAAAAAGAAACAGTCCTAAACAACTATGCAATTTCACCTATGTACCAAGATGGTCACTGAGTGTGACAAATACTGGTAACATCATTTCAGGAAGGTCAGAGGCAGTATCCTCACTTAAGAACAGTGTTTAGGAAAACCCGAGCAATTTTCCAAGGAAAGGTTAGATCTAACCTACTATGATACATGAGAGCAAGGACTGACTAAAATCCAACACACCAAAAAGCAAGAGGAAAATGAAGCTGTGCAAGAATTGAGCAGGAGAAGCACAGAGGGATAAAATAGAACATATATACTTGATAGATCATAAGACCGCATAGACTACACTTTTTTTTTTTTTTTTTTTTTTTTTTTAAGTGAAGGAATACAGAACAGCACAATTCAGATACAGGAACGATTAATCCAAGATTAAGGAAAACTGTCTAAACAGTTTATCTCCCAGTAATAAGAAGGCGTCACAGTTTAGGAACCCAGTGAATGGAGCAATTGTTTAAACACAACGAAAAAATGCCGGCATCCAGTAGAGATGAAATGAGCATTTGAGTAAAATGAAGGAGCAATTTAAAAGCCTTTGAGAAAAATCAATAGAATGCCAGGGAAGAGCAGCCTTTTTGAGCATTGATGGGCCCCTAAAGCTCTTCATACATTGTTACTGAGTTTAGCAGCAGGGAAAAGAAAATTACACAGTTTGCAAGGGTAGGCGGGAATCAATACTGTAGTTAGTAAAGAGATGCTATTTCACATCTGACTGGCCAGCGGCCTGCCTTCACCAGCCTGTCCTGATACCTGTTTGTTAACAAGTCACTAAGGGCTGAAAAAACAGATACTCTTCAGGGTTGACACAAAAAATAGGCACTTAATTTGCTCCTGTGTGTGAACTATTGGAAAAGGATGAACACTGCAGATTAGCAGGTCAGCGTAATCCCACTTGATTCATTGTTTCAGGACCAAAGAGCCCAAAGCACCATTTTGTGGACATTAGCTAGAGTTTTAAATTTTACACTAAGCTAAAAAATGCTCCATCATAACAATGCCGGTGTTGTCAAAACATAGTCATTATCACATGATAGTCATTATCACATGAACTGTATTACTTTCACATAATTGTTTTCCTCTTCAACCACACAAGGATGAAAATAAACCTACCAACCAACAAGAAAGATGTAGGAAGAATTTTGGTGGAACTTAACCATGCAACTGATCCCCAAATTTCAATGTCTGGCATTTTTCAAACCGTCACCATTAGCAAATGATGTTGTCAATCGTAAGACCAAAGCTTTTACTGTACAAAGTGGGTCCCCACTTGTATATTTTCCATAGCAGCACTGCTAAGATTCGCTTCAAGTCCTTTGTAAAAACAAAAACCCAAAAAACCCACCAAAAACCAAACCAAACCCCAATGCAAACCAACCAAACAGTCCCCTCAACCCACAAGCCCAAAATAAACTAAAGACCATTTTAAAAGGTTGATGAAAATATCATGTAACAAATATAAAAATACTGATGCACAGAAAAAAAAAAAAAGAAAGCAACAAAAAGCAGTGGATACAGCTATTTAGTGACATCTGGTATACATATGGCTTTAGAAACCCGTAAGGTTTTGTCCAATAAATTAAGTGCCATAGCTTGTTCAGTATCTCCCCAGCCAGATGGGATGGACCTTTTTGTGACATCTCAGCTTAACAACAGCACTCAATAATGCAACGCAGCAATGTCAACACTGGTTTGGGACTAACATACACATCCTTGTGGGCCAGAGGTGAGAAGCCTCTAACAACACCACGCTGACACTGTAATAAAAATAAATATTATGTCTAGCCTCCAGCAAAGGCAATTTCACAGCAAAAAAAAAAAAAAAAATCAATATTTTTCAGTGCGAGTGATTTTGATACCAGAGTATTAGTTTCTAGTCTGAAACTAGTCAAGAACACCTACTAGCTTAATTAGCTAGTTTTAGTTTGCCATAACTAAGTTGGGAACTTTCCTTTTTAGCACAACATCCGCACCCCTAACCTGGTTTTGCTGTGGCAGTCCAACTGTGCCCATGCCATTAGCTGGATGCCAGTTTAGAGCACTTCACGCCACCTGGACAAGGATGGAAACTGCATGCAAATGAAGCACTTCGACACACGCAGACTGCCAAGCACAGGCACCCAAAACTGGCCAAATCAGTATTAAAGGAGACTGGGTGGGTGAGTTGTATGTTTAGATGCACGTTCATTCGACGCAGACCTTTTTGGATAACAGATCAACAACTCTTCATCATGCTCTGAAGAGGTTTCATGGAAGCTTCAGTAACCTCATTAATAATATATATAACTGTGAAACTGGTGAAATACTGAATTGCCTCGTAAGCTCTGACTAACTCCTTAAAGGGAGTATACTGCAAGGTATCAAAATGATAAAGCCTATGGGTAAGATTAATTAGAATGCAGAATACTCACCTAGAATAAATAGCTTAAAACAGAGAAAACTCAGACTTGCTGGAGGAAGGCAGATTGAATAAAAGCTTTGAAAACAAATCTGTCCCCTCCAATTATACACTATGTCTTTGCTGGATAGATCTCTCTCTCCCATCTTCCTTTGCAGTCCATCAACTCACAGTAGCTTCCTGGTTGCAGTGTCCCCCGTGCTCTATGAAAATCTACCTTCTGTCCACCACTAATGAGGTTTAGTTGTACTACTGCAAAAAAGTCTCACTCCCCTTGGAATGGTCTTCCTGCCTGTGTATTCATTACTTGCTGTCTTTTTCATTGCCTGCATTCCTTACCCAGCAGTCCAGAGCTTATATCCTGGCTAAAAATGCCCAAATCATCTTGGGGAAGGATAAGCCTTCCCTCCAGAGTATTCCGCACCTGAAAACAGCAGCCAGGCTGCAAGGAACAGGCCATTGGTTTTGTTAACCATTCCCATTGTTTAAAAACAAAATCCAGATTATTGCACAGTAACACGTAAACAGTTAACTAGCACAGGTCTGCCTGCTCCCTTCCTCAAGCCCATCTCAAATGTCATGCCTATTAGAACATCCAGACTAGTTATAATGCCAATAAAGTCCAAGATGAGGGCTTCACTAGTTCAGAGTATTTTCTAGCGATGCTGCACAGATGCACAGCATAACAAGGCCAAGAATTCTCCTTCTAAACCACAAGTAGTGAGCACATGTAGGAAATACAGAATATGATAGACATGCATAGATATAGGAAAAACAAGTTCCCACATTGTGACACAAAAACCCACTCTGCCAATATTCATGGTAACACAGTATCCTAATAATATGATCGTTACATTATGTAAATTACAACTGTCAGGGATCAGTAACATTAGACGACTTTTTTTCAGAAGCATGGGAACAGTAACTGTTGAGCATTTCCCAGGAAACAGGTTTAACTGTCCTTAAAACATGTTCCTTAAGATAAAAGGCTGTAATTAATCTGAGAAGCGTAAGGAACATTATGATAACTACTGGAAATAAAGAACAAACACAGTGTTAACCTTAGTCTGTGTACACATGCATCCATATTTACCACGTAAGCAAGAATCACTGCAAATGATCTGAGAATTCATATCAACAGGAATTTAAATGAGAGAATGGGGTTAGGAGCAAATCAGAAATATGATTCAGTTCTGTGGACGTCAACCTGTGCCTGTAGCAACAAAAGAATCATTCCTCTCCTTCCATATAGCCTGTCTCATTTGTTGTCCAACTGTATAGTGAGATTGTTGTCCAACTTGTATCTACACTGTATCTATATATAGATACAATATATGCAATATGTAGATACAATCTATAAAATTATTGTATAGATTGTAGATATGTATTGTAGTTATTGTAGATATGTTCATATATGTATTTTTATGCAATATTTAAAATACAGATATTGCGCTTACATTTAAAGCTTGTCTCCTGCCTCTGTCTGTCTAAAACTTTTACTTTTTTTTTTTTTTTAAGATGCTATGCAGGCACAAACCTGGTTGAGCCGCTTGCTTCTCAAACCGCATCTTTTCTTCTCTGGCTTTGTCTTCTGCATTAACAGGAATCCCAGATTCATCCCGAGGAATTATCTTTCCGTGGAAAGGGCACTTCAGAAAGAAAAGGAAAAAAAAATTAATCTCAAAACTTCTGAGTGAAAAGAAAATGTTTACGTGTTGTTCAACATAGCTTAAAGCCAGACACTGCAATCAAGTGACAAACCTTTATACTTGATCCCCAGTCCCCCTGAGAAAGCATCAGGATCCCATAAACATGATGTGTTTAACATATTCAGAATCTCAAAGAAAAAAAGCTTTTTGTGATATGAATATCCAATTTCAAGAGGCCAGGAAGCACATCCTGTCAAATCTGGAACCAGGGCACCAATGCTGCATTGTATTTTATTGTTTATGCTATATCCCTATCCTATAACAATCCCATTTCAAGTATTTTAGTACATTCAGATCCTTCAATCTCACATAATACAGGAAGAGCAGAGATATTAGAACAAAGTATTTAAGCAAAGTATTTCTGCTCAATGGGGCTCATAATTTGAGGCTATGTTGGATTTAGCTTTCATAAAAACTAATGTGTAAATAAAATCTCTTTACCCCTCAGACATGCCCATTTCTAAAAATAGTTAATATCAAATATGCCTCTAAATGAGGAAAACTTTTTGGCAAACAACTAACTGTCTCTGCTTCACTGTTAGGTACCCAAACATCCCGGTAATAAATATATTATAAATACGTGTGATGAATGCCAAAAATACTTGAGAGTTCTTTAAATGTTTACAGCTTCCTTACAGAAAGGATGCTTCTCATATAAAGCACATATCAACCACAAACTTCTCCAGATACAATTTTCTTTCACTGCATTGAGCTATATTTACAATGTGAAAAGAACTTCTATGGAGATGTTTTAATGAGACCTTCTCCACAGAGCACGTATCCTGGAAGTTAGGTTACTTGGTGCCCACCTTAATCCGATCTTGTCTTTCACACAGACTTCCATCAGGCATTGGTGCTCGACATTTATGTTTCACTGGTTCAAACTTGCCAGCAAACGTTATATATCTAGTTCGTAGCATTTCAGTTATTTCTTTATTTTCCACCTCTTCCTCTACTTCACTGGGTGCCCAAAATCGATGCTCGGAAGCAAATCTGGGAAAACAATGAATGAAAATTATTTACAAAGTTGTAAGAAAGCACATAAAGATGCCAATACCATCCCATGGTAAACTTAAATGTAAAAGGAAGGGAAGCTTTATTAGTGAATCAGAAAAACCTAGGAATCTATCATTATTTCTTATGACACCTGTATTATGAAGATGTTTTTAAAATATCACCAAAGCCTGTCGAGTATTGATTTTTTGTTTAACCTGCTAACCTATTACACGTCTTAGCTCTAGTTCGTGATCTGACAGTCAGAGTCAGTTATTCGATATCCAGTTTCAGTGAATAACTTTGTGATTCTGTAGTTAACATTCTTCATAACAAAATACTTCTATGATTAAACACAGAAGACAGACCAGGGAGGAAATAGTTTGACCTTACTTGTTTGATCTTATTCCTGGTAGCTGTGCTCCTGTAATAGCAGAGAAGCAGAAGGTAAAATCGGAGTATGCTGCAATATACTTGCACCAAGGAAGAGTTTTATGGAGATTCTTTCTTCCAGGTTCTCCTATACAGTGTCCATAAGTCTGAGAAACTTATTGGGTGTTCCTCTAGGAAATTAAGCTAATCCATTGACAGTCTACTTTAAAATTAGAGCTCTTACTATATTTACAGGCACATATAGGCAAATACTCTCTTTGTTAAGCTGGTGTAAAGAAGATTAGACCATGCAAGTGGACGTGAGGAAAGAGAAAGAAGGGGAGCAAGAACCCTGGAGTGGTGTAGTATTTTCAAATTTTCTCAACTGTATTCATATAATTTCATTTTAGCCATCCTAGGCTGCCAATAGTATGTAATGAGAAACAGGCAACCCAAGAGAGAAATTACCTGACTCATTTTAGATGCTAATCTTAGGAGGCAATGACTGTCCCTTGATGGTAGATGTTTCTCCTAATCATGAAAAGAGATTAGAATCATAGAATTATTAAGGTTCGAAAAGACCTCTAAGATCATCAAGCCCAACTGTCAACCCAACACCACCCTGTCTACTAAACCATGTCCCAAAGTGCCACATCTACATGTTTTTTTGAACACCTCCAGGGATGGTGACTCTACCGCCTCTCTGGGAAGCCTGTTCCAATGCCTGACCACTCTTTCAGTGAAGGAATTTTTCCTAATATCTAATCTAAACCTCGCCTGACACAGCTTGAGACCATGTGCTCTTGTCCTTTCGCTAGTTACTTGGGAGAAAAGACCAACAGCCACGTCACTACAACCTCCTTTGAGGTAGCTGTAGAGAGCAATAAGGTCTCCCCTCAGCCTCCTCTTCTCCAGGCTAAACACCCCCAGTTCCCTCATCCGCTCCTCATAAGCGGGGTGCTCCAGACCCTTCACCAGCTTCATTGCCCTTCTCTGGACATGCTCCAGCACCTCCATGTCCTAATATCTGAATTAAGGCAACCAGTTTAGGTTTAGATATCTGAAGTTAAACAACAATCCCATCCCAAATTTAAGGAAATATGAAGTGAAAGGTAAAAATACAGCTAAACAGTTATCTAGATGACAGTTGTCTTGATAAGGACTTAGAATCCATAAAGGACACTTTACAATCCCTTTCTTCCACACAGTTCTTCCACTCAATCAGTGCCAGACTGATTTGAGAGGATTTTCTCTATCCATATCCAATTCCCCTCACTCATTAATATCCTTGGGTGTCATCCTTACTTCTGACACTTTGCCTTCTGTAGGCTGCAGAGCCATACGTACATGAAGACTGGCTTCACTAATCACAGTGATCTCAATTCAGCAAAGCACGTAAGCCAATACTTAAAGAGTTACTTTAGTGCACCTGAAGAGTTTTGATGAATTTTATCTAAGCAAGTTTTCAGCAGATGGTAAAGGGGGAAAAAAAATCTGGAGGAAATTATCTGACCGTAGCAACCTACGACATATATAGCTGCTGGTTTTACTGCAATACTTGACCATTTACAACTATGTAAAGAGATTAGAACTATGTTAAAAAAGGGATTAAGCAATTTTGAAGCCATTCTATGATTTGCCAAATCATCAGAAAAATGTTCAAGAAGTAAAATCCTTGTTAAAGAGATTCATGCTATCCAATAATTTCCTCATCAAATATACCTTGCTAGTGCCAGAAAAATTCTAACCTGCCATAAAATACAAATAACTTTCTTCTAGTAAATTAAGACATAGGGGCAAAAGAGTTACAGTGGAGGCTAGTTCAACATTAAACACAGTAATATGTTTCCACAATTTTTGGTTTAAAAAAAAAAGTTTTCAACCATACCAATCTGGAAACTATAGCCTAAACAAAAATGCTCTAAGAATCTTCACAATATACTAGTATGAGTTTAGTCAAATATTGGAATGGTTCAGTATTTCAGCTTCAGAAATTGTATGGCAAGATTGTACAATAGACAGTAAATAAAAGAATGAAATGTATTTATTTGTTTAGTTTTAATACAATCCTGAAAACAAGACTGACTGCTAGCTCTGTGTTACTAACCTTACAGACACAAGGAGGAGAAAGCATTCTTAAAAAGACACCATGCAGGATTTCTATGTGCAAAATAGTCTTACAGAATCTTGTAGTAAAATTCTCATGTCCTTTGGTGGCCCCAACTCCCCTCCCCCTCTAAATCATCAATTACAGTTACATGAGAATGAAAAAGAATTTAACAGTTGTACATGCCAACCTTTCCAAGCAGGAAAAAGTTCTATTTAATATTTTCACTTCCATCTGAAAAATCTGCATCAAACAAATCTCAAGGAAATTAATATTATGTTTTACTATATATATAATTGATTAGTATTTGGGAACTAGACTTAAAACAGTCTGATTCCTGCACAGATATTAATAAATATTATTGTTTACTACAAGCATATAAATTATTTTCTCCCAGCATGACTTAGAAGCAGGTGAGAAAAGAACAAAACGGTGCTAAATCCCAAAGTTTTCTGTTTTCCTGGTGTTGTAATTTAAGCAATGCTTTAAAAAGGCAGAACATGAGATCTTTGAAAAAAATGATGCATGTGACAAATAAAACCTTTTTGTAAAGGGGATCAAAAAGGGAACAGATAATCAACTAGAAGATCAAAACCTCACATTCATAGAAAAAGCACTACTGATCTAGACAAATAACAGAGGCTTTAACGGAAATTATATAGCTACGCATTAGGAGGAATAAAAGACAAGTCATGGTTAACTGAAATCTAAAAGAAAGTCCAGCTCCTGGAGAAATATTGCACTCTTTCAACAAATTTATATCAGTTTTGTTCCTAAGATAATGGGAAGCTTATTGAAAGCTTGAGTAAATACGAATTCTAAAACCAGTATGATGCTTACAGAGATCTTGGAACAAGCGCTAAATGAGCCAATTCAAATATCCTAGTCACAGTCATAAAAAGTGCTGCACCAGCTAATTTACTCTGACCCTAAGAGTAAGCTGAGTAAGCTGATTTAATTCAAGGAGGAGAGTAGATGAGTTCGGAAGGCCCACGCTATCCAAAATAGTTGGTTAAGCTAGCATAGCAGTCTCTACACAACACAACACTGTGCAGTACACCCCTCCAAAAAAACCATACTTCTACAGCTCTATAAATTAATTTTTAAAGTTCTTAAACTAGTTTAATGAGTTGTGTGAGTAAAGGCAGAAGAGGGGAAAATGGTTCAGTGCAAACTTTTTGTAAAGCCCACAGTTACTGTCACCTTCTCTGGAAGGTGACAGTTCACGATTTACCAGCTAAACAAAACTTTAGTAAATCATCTTCCTGGTAGCTACATTCTCACCATCGAAATCTTAATTTATTGTAAATGCGGTAATTAAGTAAGTGTAGTGTTAAATAGGTGAAGGCGAAAGATTTTTCCACCTCAGATTTTAAAAATTCAAATTCCATACACATTCTATATGTGTTGTCTGGTTTTTGGTTTTGTGTTAGCTTTTTTTTTCCTAGACATCTTATAATGACAGTATGTGTACATCTAGAAAAGTTAAAGGAGTTGACCAATGACTATCTTAATTTTTCAGTAAATATATTTTATACCCAAGGGTCAATGGGTCTGTGCAGAGTTACTTAAATTATCTTTAGTTAGATTGGCATATCTGTAGTTATAGACTATAAGGTTGAGAAGTGTGCCCTCTATTTTATTGGAAAGCATAAAAATAAAACAGTACAGCACAAGGCAGACAGGCAGTGAAATATGCTCCTGATTTCACTTATGACTTGAATAACTCATTTGCAATGTAAAATAAAGCCTTACTACCTTTTTGGCTTTATCACAGACAAATGCTTCTTAAAGCCCTGCTAAAAATCTTAACCATTTTATAGGCTTTGAAGAACTTACGCCACACGAGACAGAACCCAAAGCTTGGAGTGACTGTGTAAAAGCCCTATTATGAATCAAATTTCACTGGCTTTCAGTAATTCAAAATATATTCAGCATTTTATGCAATCAGGTACAGGGGCAACACTTTCCTCTTGGTTTTTTTTTCTGCAAACACTGTCTTCACATTGCAATCATGGATTGGGATTTTTTGTTTGCTTTGATAAGAAAACAAACTAAGTTAAAGTAATACTGCTGAGAATATATGAGTTTGATTTTCAACCCAGCCAGTCCAAGATTTTTGCCTTTTTCAAGCCAGGTATGGTATACACTGATACTAAAGTTCTAGTGGACTTAAATGAAATTTATATATAGAGGGAAGACTTTGCATCCCAATTTTCATATAAAAATACTAGGGCTAAAAAGGGGTTTTAAAACCTGCTGGAAACAAGTTCTGATGTATACCTACCATCTCTTCTCCCCAGCATTGCTAAAGCTTTCTGGAAGTCAGCAATGTTTCATGTCCAAGAAACACAAAACCTTCCCAGACAAGAATGGAAAGTGAGAGATCCAAATTCAAATCCTGTAACTGCCACCTATTTCTCGTGCGACTGAACAAGCGTATCAATTTCCTCAGTTACCGCTCTGTAGAGTCAGGAAAAATACCCCTGACACCTTCCCCAGCCTTTCTCCTACCTTGCCTTCTATTTATTTAGACTGTAAAGTCCCCAGCAGAGGGACCGTCTATCATGCACTTGCATAGCACTTTGCATAATGAGGTACCAATTTAAACTGGAGTAAGTGATGCCATACGGCAAATAATACACAAACATGAAAGAGCAGGAAAAATGTGCTTTGAAGCATCAAAGGATATTTAATTAGTGTCACATCTTCTCAAAACAAATAACATTTTAAGGTAGAATTTCTGACTTTGTTTATGGGTCCTACAGCACAAGGGAAAGAAGAAATGTAATTATCAAAAGAAATAGCAGTCACCCCACTGCATGACCTCTGAGTACAAGTAAATCTGTATATTTGCTTAATTTGTCTTAAAAGAAAAAGAGCATTACTTGAGAATCTTCCCAGCACTTGGCTGATCCTGTCCCCAGTAGTGAAGATCTAATCCAAAAGGCATGAGGGGAGCTTTAGCTCTTTCTTCTTCTAGTTTTCTTCTCTTACTGTCGGGCTCTTCCAAAGCTGCTGGCTCAGTAGTGGCAGAGTCACTGGAGAAAATTGATGAAAAGTCAATACAGAATAACAATGATCACAACAACTTTTTCTCTTTTTTTATTAGATTTTCACACCAACACTAATATTATCTTAGATCTAGGACTACAAATACCTTTATAGGATTGTTCTTTTTTAATTAAAAAAAAAAAAAAAAAAGATACAGACCATAACACTACACACTAAGTACAGGACACTGCACCATGAAGCTTAACTGCACATTCAGCTAAAACTGGATAAAATGTATCATACCTTTGGTGTAGAAGCCTAGAGATCAATGGGAGCAGTAGTGGAACACACACACTGTACTGTAATGAGAACTACTGATGTGGCAAACTGTTTTTAGAAAGATCTTGCTTCTGTAAACTCATGCCCACATTTGCATGGCAGTCACACAGACTGCAAAGTCTTTGGTTTTGTTTACAAAACTCCATCTTGCAGACTTAGAATACTCATTGTGCAACACCACCACAGAATTCACTGCTCCTCAAAAACCAGAGTACTACTATGGAGACCTTCCATGGCTATTCACTGACAGAGCTGCAAATGGTCTTACCGAAACATTAACTTTTAGGAGATTACAGGTCACAACGTACACCTACTCCAAACTCCAGAGTTCTAACAAAGTAAAGCCCTTTCTCTTTCTGAGATTACGTTCCACTTTGCTAGTTTTTGGGGGCTTTTCTGGCCAATGCGGAAGTGTCTTTTCAGGCACATGTCACTAAGTAGATTACTCCAGTCTTATCCCCAAATCACAGATAAATGCTAGACAAGGCTGGAATGTCACCAAGCACTGAATAGGATTGACAACAAATACGTCTTTGGAATCACTAAAACACACCTCCAGGCAGCGCTGCCAGCTTAAGTCACTAGGAAGTAAGGGACGGTTGAAACTACTTTCTAATTTAGCATTAGGATATGTTCCATTTAGTTGCAAACCAAAAATTACCCCAATAAATAGGGATGGGGTTTTTGTTAGGACAGGAGGGAATGTTTTCATAGAGGTCATTTACACCAAGTAAAACCTAAACCAAGCGAGGATTAAAATATTCCTGAAGAGCCTGATGCAATCACTAACAAAATCCTCAATATTAAGCAGTGAATATAAATCTCAGTAAAAGAATTGTAACTTCAAAATGAAACCAAGACAGCCTTAGCAGCTTGCCCAGTTCACGAGCACTTTTCCGTATGCTTTCATGATTAATATATACAAGTAAGAGCAAGAAGTTTCTACAAGAATTTAAACAAAGATAACCTGGCATGTGGAGGTGGTAACTTTGGTAGTTTGTCTCTAATAAGTTTCAGTGTGGCAGCTGCACAGGTTGGATCAAGTTCATCTTCATTCCCTTTCAGCTGGGCGTGGGAGCTCAGCGGAGCTCGTCCTATTGATGTCTTCCCCACCGGTGCTTTTGGAGGTGACTGGGGTTCTAGCCCTGCAAAAGAACTCAGTGTTTAGGAGGGATTCACTTCTCCCACCCTCACCGCTTCGTAGCAGGGCCAAACAGCTCAGGATGCTGATTACATGTCTTACTGCTTGCAATTCACATTAGACATCCATCCCACTCATAGACAGAGCGGTATTTCCGCCTGCAAATTTTTTCTTGTTTTGAAACAGAAACTAACCACAGCGAATCAGCTTTTAACTTCGTATGACATGGTATGATGACAAAGAATGATATCGCCTCACCTTGGAAAGGAGGATTTTAATGATACAGTTCTACCTAAACTGCAATACTGCTCTTTGTATGTAAGTCTCTAGTATCAAATCAGCTTGTCGGTATGTCCTTTCTGTACTGAAGGTTATATCAAGGTAAAATAGAAGAAAGAAACTATTGGCACTACTGTTTAACACCTAGAGTCCCAAAAGAAACCCAAGAGCAGTAGAAAGCAAAAGGAAAGGCATACATCCACATCCTCCTGTGTGCCAGAATTCTTTGTGGTGTCTCAGCGAGAAGTCCTATTAAAACTCTCAGAGCCTGGCAAAGAGAAACCACTTCTGCGTGGGGGATTCACTGCAGCACAGGACTGATGAGAACGGGAACCATCGTCACCCCGCATGACCGGCAGGGAAGCACAGCCGGTGAAAAAACAAAGTGTGTGTGAGGTACATCCCTGTTCTTTGATGACTCTCAGCTACCATACTGACCCTTCAGAGCTGAGAATATAAACCAAAATATCTTTTTTTTCCTTCCTGACTTTTAAGGGGCAGCACCCCTGAGAATAGTTGAATTTTGATTCCTAAATACATCCGCAAACAGAATTATCTAGAGAACATTCTCCTTTCACAGATACTAAAACACACAATATGCCAAGATAAAATATCTAAGTGCTGGCAGAAGCAATGAGTTTACCCACAGAGTATGCTCAAGAGACAGTAAATGTCCAAGCTGCACTTGAGGAACAAGCCCAGTGCAAGGCAGCACCAGGCATTGATGTTCAGCACCAGCAGCTCAGTGGTGGGGCAACTTAATTACTTTATTCAGCGAGATTACAGTCAGCGCGGACTGTAATGATGCAATTAGACAGGGTGAGCAGTTAGACAGCACATGCCTCTACCCGCTGAGCTAGAGAAGCAACTCTATCAGCTGGCAGTAGTAACAAGAACTTTTCAACCAACGACAGCTAAAAAATGGAGAGACGTGATCCCTCGTGCTAACGCAACAGACTACATTTGCCTCCTCAGAAAGCCTTTTTATAAAAGAATTGATTGAAATGCAAGGCCTCATCCCTCAAAAAAAACCCCAAACCTAAATTAACAGAAAAAAGTAATGGTTTCACAAAACTAAAGTTTTCAGCAAATTATCTCAGCCTTCTTTTGAAAAGCAAACAGAGTTTACCTAACATGTTTTAGCCATTATTTAATTGGGGCTTTTAGTCTCTTGCCCATTTCTAGCCAGCCCTGAAGCTGTATCCAGAAGTATTCTTGCTTTGCTAATTTTGTTTGCTAGTCACTAAATGTATCACAAGATATGAACTAGAAAAGGAAAAGGTAATGTGGTATCTATGACCTGCCCTCTGAGTGGGAAACTGCAGGACCCGTAAGTGGCAGGTAGCTTTGGTACACAAAATATTTTTATTTCAGAGAAAATCTTATTTTCCCATAAATAAATCTTCCAGTAATTCATCCTGACCTTGATCCATTTGCACCACCCTGTAACATGTGGGGTGCAACCACACAGAAGGCATTGCCTGACTCAAGCCACAGGTCAAGTTGCTGAGGTGGCGACCTTCTAGATCCACTCCCTAGGTATATGAGCCTACATTTTCCAAGTACCTAGATTTGAAGCTGGGTCCTAGTTCCTGGACATCCTCTCCCCAGAGTGAGATGAGAATCCTAGTTCAAAATCTACAAAGCTAGAGCCCCTCATGAGGGGAGGAAAACCAAAAAGCAGACATCCAGTTGGATCTGGCTTGTGTGCATGCATAGCCTTTAAATTTTGCTGCGTACAGCAAATGGTCACTTCAGTCATTCAGATCTTCTGAATACAACAGACTCCAGAGAGAGCGCACGCCCCAGAATACTCTCAAGTATGAGGATTTTTCTAAGACTATCTGAGACCCTCACGTTTCTTTCCTTCATGTAACAATGAAAGAAAATGTTTTAAGGGCAAGGCGATCCAGGGTAGAGGCCAGTAACAACTGCGGCAGATGGCTTACCTGCCCCTTTCAAAACAAGAGGGGGAAGGAAATAGGATCTGGAGAAGGAAAGAGGATGAGAAAGCACTAGCCACCAGCAGTTAATAAGCATTCATAGAGGTTTCTCTGTCTTCTCGCTCTCCCACAACAACTCATTCCTTTTGCTTATTCAGTGTATGACAAAGAAATGTGGACCATTTCAACAAGACGGTTGAGTCAAGTTGTGTGTGAAAGTATTTTCCCATGTCCATGGAGAGATCAGACCCAGCTCTGGCAGGTCGATGCATTTCACCTTTCCTAAGAAAAAGCTACTTGAGTAATGTGTAGATACTCTACAAGAGTGAATACACATCTGAGAGTGGGTATTTCAGCAGCGCCAGTCCTGCGGCTGTCCCGCAAAGACTTCAGCAAGTTCCTGACTGACTGAACGTTTGCAGGCAGCAAGCGTTGCAGAGTGGACCAAAAGACATTCACCACAGTCTAAAGCCAGCGGCAAACCCAGCTCTCCCCTGGCTTCCTGTTCTGCTCTCTGGAAAACACCCCAAAACCAAAGTCTATGTTCCTAAGGCACGGCATCCTGAAAGACAGTGGCTACTCCAGCTGTCCAATGTTTCCTGGGAATTGAAGTTAGCATGGACTGTGATGCAAAGAAGGATCATATCTTTTCAATTTTTATGTCCTCAGATGGGAGGTGAGAACCTGCCTACCAGCTGTAGACAAGACACAGGCCATCTTGCTGTTGGGTGACGATGGTGCTGATGAGCATGCCTGACGCTACTACTCCCTGACTCAGTCATGCCCACATCACATTCTCACATGAAAGCAATGAACATGCCACATTCACCTTGTTATCTAACTTTCCTTCCCAAAGTCAACAAGGCTTTAAAGAACATTGTTAAAATCATTTAAAGGACTAATCTGCATTGGAAAAAAGGTCTCAAAATTAGCAGAAGGACCAGTAGTAAGCAAAAAGATAATTAAGCATAATAGGATGGAACTAAGCAGAGAAATATCTAGGCTAAATAGCAAAAGAAATGATCTCATGACATTTATTAGGCTGTGGACTTGCCATTCAAGAGGGATAATGGTGCCTCCACAAAAATGTTATTTAAACAGCAGTTAATATTTCACAGAAGGGAGCAATCTTGAATTTTTTGTATCTGGAAAGGGGGAAGGATAGGACTCCATCTCAGCTCCTGTCATAGGCTAGAAAGGGAAAAAGCCCTTTGCAGGTGCTTTGTATCAAAGCGAAACAGAATTAACCCAAAAGATTCTGTTAGAACCACACTTTAGAATCACCAGGATTTGGAATAGTAAACTTCCTTTTATGACAGAAACAAACAAATGGACCCTTTGGCATGAAGAAGGTTAGCTGAGAAAAATATGTAATAGACTGTATCTGTAATGTAGAGTTGCTTAGACTGTATTTAACATTTAAAATTGCCTTTTTCTTTTTTTTTCTATTTTTTTTTTTAAGGACAAGAACACCTTTCTGCAAAGCATTGTTTAAAGCAACGGTTTTGAGAGCACTTGTATGCATACTATTTACAAACTGTCTTGAAGTCAGAAGGTAGTAGGTGTGTGTCTCACCACACCTTTTTTCCTCTTCAGTGACAATATGTGCATATGTATTAAAAGTTCTCAGGAAACCCTAGTTTTTATTCCAGATTTTTCCTTACAGTGCTTATGGAAAGTGTGATTGCTCATTCACTACGCTGATATTGTTTGAGGGGGGAGAGGATGTGAACAGCAGAGACAAGCAGTCAGCAACACACAGAAAAGGAAAGAGAGATAAATGGACAATGTGACATTTAGAGAGATAAAAATCGCATCCAAAAGATCAATATAGGAATTCTTAAGAGTTACAAGAACAAAATATTTTCCCATTGATTTCTTATTTTAAACCATTAATGGAAAAATGGCTAAAGGTAAATAAACTACAACATCAGTAACACCACCTCTACTTTGGACTTATTTTTTAAAAAAAATTGTTTATAAAATTATCTTTTGCTAACAAGATAAAGACAAGAGTCACCATGCAGACAGCCCTGGCTGAATGGTACCCAATGTCAGGGTGGGGTTTTTTTGTTTTGCTTTGTTTTGAAGACATAGATGGGATTAAGTGCAGTTTTAAAAGTAAAATTTAAAGTGTATTTTATTTAACACAAGTACAGTACTTGGGTTCAAATTGTTCCAAAAGCAGCTTTTAGAAAGAATCATAAAAATGTTCAAATCCCCTTTTTTGTTTAAATTGACCAAATGACACCTATTTGCCTGAAGCAATAAAGTAGACCGTGTTCACAAGATAAATCGATAGAAGGAAAGAGAGAGGCTGGGGTTTCAGCTGAAGTTAGGCTGCTGAATGCTGACATTATTGATTTTAGCTAGTTCAGCTGGCCTTGTAATTAAAATGTAAATTTGAGAAAGAGATTATGTCCTGACAGAAATGGTGGGATTAGGTGGAGATAAAAGCCCCTCAGTGAAAATTCAGAGAAAGAGCAAGCACAGGTTTCCTCAGCTGTGTGGATTTAGACGAAATCTAGCTACTTCAGATTCACTTAAGTTTAATTGAAAAAACGAAGATAGAATATAAACAAGTATTATAGACGTCAACTTTCCTGAGGAAAAAAATAATAATTTCTATTTCCCATTTGTTGAATCCTAGTCAAGCTGAATGTATGTGATTTATATTAGTACAGACACTCTGCAAGACAGCCAGGAAAATCCAGCAGTTCCGGTACAGTATTTCCCTACTTACCCTCTACTGTGCTCATAATGAAAAAAAAAAAAAGTGTGT